TCTACGTGCCACTGCACTGGTGGTGGTTTGTAAAAAATACTATCTACACTAAAATTTTAAGAACTAGTAATATATTTAGTATATTTTTGCCTTTTCTTTTTTTGCCACTGAATATAAAATTTTGTCCTAAATTTACTACATCTACACCCTGAGGAATAGTAACAGACTAATTAAAGAAACGCCAGGGTTAGTTCTGTGAACCATATTATTGCCCCAAAGCACAAACTATATATATATAGCTAACATTCTTGGAAGCACAAGGTGTCATGAGCAGACTAAGCTACTGCTCCGTTTGTTTGTTTTTGCCCCTTAGGAAAGAGTTTGGTTTTACAGTGTTAACAGGGCCTGATGAGAACACACAAGTCAAAGTTGGGAGCCTAAGGCTTCCCCCCCGATCCACAACTGACGCAATGGTTTTCTGTCTCAACTACGAACATGGCATACATTATTGGAATAGATTATTCAACAGTCCTCTGAACAGCACTTGGGAATCCTTAGCTATCCATTTTTATGAAATTACAATAAAAATTTATTTGCTATCTTGAAATATGGAATTCCCATCCCTCTCCTTTCCATACCCAAGTACATAAAATGCCACATTTAAATTTCATCTCAGTATTTACTTATTTTCTCCCAGTACCTGAAAGGATAAAGTTCCCATTTATTTTCCTTTCCACCTATCTTACGGAGGCCTGCATTCGGGAGGGAATTCTTAAATCCTTAAAGTGAGGCAAAGGCTTCATTTAGGCAGCCGTAGGGCATTTCTCTTAGGGCAGAGTCCGTTTCCCTTTGAACACAGGCTGCACTGGTTTCAGGCTGACGATTAATTATGCACACTCGTCCTTTAAATGGGATGCCTCCAACCCCCCAAAGAACCAATGCTTCTTGGTAGGGTGCTCAGACGTGGTCACTAATGATGTGCAAAGCAGAACACCCCACCTGCTCGTATCGGGGTCTCGTTAAAGGATAAAACACTCCAAGGAAGCCATGCCTGGCAACTGGAACAAATGAGACACAATCAGCTGTTTGGTGAAACTTCTGTCCTCTGCTGTCTACCTACACATTAGACTTAAATCCTGCTCCCCCAAAAAGGCAAGAAAGGCACTCGAATGAACACAGTATTGTACAGTTATTTTTTAAAAGACACTGTGGGATATTAAGTAGCATCCTCAGGGTTGATCTTCCCCACTTACTGCCTTCACCACACCAACTCTGCCTAAGATTGCCTGTGCCTCAGTGCACCTCCCTGAACAGGAGCATGTTACAGAGTGCGCCCAAGCACGCCAGGCAGCAGCACTAAGGAAAGTGCTAGCACTCGAAACACTTCTATTTGAGAAATTTATTCAGAAGACAAAAGGTTCAGTTGTTACAATGCTGTTCAAATTTTCTAGCATACTTTAAATTTTTAAATATAATTTTCCAGTAACAAAATAACTGTAAGCTTACAAAAGCTTCATGCAAAAAAAGGTTATATGTTGCTTCCTTTGATAACTGAATCTTTAACATCTTCTGTAATTCAGGGAACTAGGGTTGAGACAGATTATTGTACAAGTGGTAGTTGCACTCCCAAACTGTATTTAGCCCATGTCAGATTCCACCTGTGCTGTATAAAATTAAGAGACTTATAATTGTTCTCAACAATATTAAAAGTTCTATTTACACACAGAGACACACACACATGTATCAACAAGCATGAATTGGTATGACCTGAATATATCTAAATGACAAAAAGTCTACCACCATAATATGCTTTCCTACAAAATGCCACATAAAAATCCAGGAACTTTTGTTTCCACATCTTGTTACCTAGACCCTTATCTGAAGATTTAAGTGGCTTTTAGTGACAATCTGTACACATTTATTCTTATTAATAATGAAGCTTTTAATTTAATCAGAATCGTACCATAGGAATAAGAAATATAACTGAGAGTCTGCGCCCAGAGTTTCCAAAAAGGTAATAAAATGCAAAAACCTAGAAAAGAAAAAGGGAACACTAAGTATCAAATCCTTAAATTTGAAAAATGACTAACACAGGTTTAAGAAATATCTAAAAGATCCACAGTTCAAGTTTGGGAGGGGAAAGGAGAAGTACAAAACGACTATCCATTCACAGGTACAGATCGACAAGTCTCTAAAATCAAAGAATTTCTTCAGATGCCCCTAAGTGGCTCTGGCTGTGTTGGTAAGATGATCAGAACAGAAAATAGTGTTCTTAATGCCAGCAGGCTTCATTAGTTCTATGACTTTTGAGTGTATATTAAAGTACGGTTAATTGATAATTACAGAACTGTACTTCTTGGATGGGATTTAACAAGCTTAAACCAGGCAGTTATATGAGAAAAAAAAAAAAATGTAAACCAACTTATCTGATATGCAATAGCTCCACTGAGGTATCATGAAGCTAGAATACATCATTCATTCTCAATCCACTGCTCTAATCCATCAATTTCTCAATCATAACTCACTCTGTTACTCATGATCAATCTTTCCCATCTTCAGTTAATCATTCATTAATTTAATAAATATTTAACAAATCTTCACAATGCGGAAGTAGAATCTGGGAACACCATATTACCAAAATATGTATACTGAAAAAAAGGTGTGTGTGGGGTGGTGGTGGTGAAGATATTGACAATCTTATTGCTTTTTGCATGTCAGTAGTATGCATGATCCACAGGATGTACTACGGCTTCCTAATCTTCCAGTGGAAGTCTGATGAAATGTGTGTCAACCTAAACCACCTTTTAACAACAACATATTCATAACAAAGTAAGTGAAGACTAACAAGTCCCTGAAAATAGACACATCCTTTCCACTGAATGAACTCATTCAGTCAGAGACATCATCATGCTACAGGTAGTAAGTTTAGACGTCAACCATTCAGGAAAAAAATACAACCATATAGGGCAATAATAGACTTTTCTGTGAATGAACACTTAAAAAATAAATTTTTTAGAAATAAAGTAGCACAGAAAAGTCTCATACAAACAGTACCCTTTGGATGTTTGTACTTTCACTCAGGACTTAAAACTGTATTAGGAAGACGAGAGACCAAGATATTAAAGTACTGCATGGCTTCAGAAAGGGGCAGGGTAAGAGCCTCAGAACAGAAGAAGACAATTACCAAGATGAGCAAGGTACTCTGTGGAAGGTATAAAAAATGTGGAGCATGATAAAATGCAGCTGCTGTTTCACAGGGTTTAGTCTACATTCATGTCCTGAACACTCTAACATCAAAGCATTTAAGAAGCCCTATTACCTGGGATACTTAAAATGATGCTTAGAAAAAAGGTAATACTGAGTGAGGCCAGAATTTGGCAGCATGTATTAGTGGAATGGGCTGAATCTCCTGCGTGTCATCTCTGTGTAATTTCCCCAACCCCAGCAGGTGCTGAAGATCACAAACTAATGGTTTTATCCAGAGGTCTAGGTAGACCTTGAGGTATCTGATTCAAAATATGCCTTGTACACAAAGGGCCATGGAATTATGTTCATAATGGCAATTATTTTCTCGCTAAAATACTGTAAAAGCTACCAAAGGGTAATTTTGCCCCAAGAGATAAGAGCAGCTTCTGTCTAGAGACAGGCTGGACACTTTTTCTGGTGTTCTTAAGTCTCAACATTTTGCATGATGCACAAGTAAAGGACCTATTCTCTCCCCTTATGGCAATGCTCCTCATTCAAGTCCAGGGTTTCCATAATGGTGAGACAGAAGTGGTCTGCCTTTCCCTACATCTGTCTCTTCACACCATGGTGACCTAGCATGTAAAAAGGGGAGCAGGCAAAGCATGGCGGTCACACTTGTTTCTGCCACTATTACTTACATTCTTTATACACATAGGGCAAAAAACGCTTCCATCATTAGGGGAACTTTTAGAAGAGCAGTCAGCAGTTCATACTCATATTTCATGTGTGTGTGCGTGTGTGTTTAATGGAGTATGGAATTCACTGGAAATAGGGAGAATATCTTCAGAGTACGTCCCTGAAATAAGACAGGTAAGGAAAAACAGACAAAGGTAAAAGTGACAAAAAATATGGAAAGATTTGGAAAATAAAGAGAAAGGTATGAGGAAATAAGAAAGGCAGGCCATTTATGGAAGGGGAAATATAATAGAAAACAGATAGTACCTGGCCCTTTCCCCACCCCTGCCTCACCAACGTGAAAAACCCAGCCCTTGTTGTTGAAAAGATAGGATATAGCTATAAGGTGGATACTTTGGTACCTCATCCCTGATAAGTTTAGTATCAAAGTTTTTTAATTGTTTTATTTTTTAAAATAAAGACTGAAGAATTAACCTTCAAAATTATTCTGTCTCCCTGGCTTTTGCCAGTAAACTTTAATGATCACTTCATAAAAATTTTGTAGTTGTTCCAGTGTATCCTCAATAACTTAAATTTTTAAAAACAAGATTTTTATGGATACATTCCTATGCATATTTCTCCCATTTTTTATGGTGAATTGGAAGGGAAATAAGTAGTAATAACTAAAAATGGCATTCCAGGTTTTTAAAAAAAATTGATTTTTATAAGCGCTGACTTGAATGTTTTTTGCATATACCAAATTTGAGGTAAAAACAATCTATCAAAACTAGTAATAAAAATAATTTTCCAGTACTGCAATTACATAAACACTTAAAATTATTATTATTTTTAAAATAACCATTTTAAAAATGGATTACATTGGAAGCATGTTTTTCATATAAATTCTAATACTTCTGACTTTGGTTATTTTGGTCTATAACTTGAGTAGAACATGCTAGAGAAAGAAATGGTTTGTATTTTTACATATCCATCCATCTGGCCATTTGATTTTCAAAACAACAATTAGATTGAGAAATTTTGCATTTGTATTATTTTTCAGCTTAACTACAACATAAATTTTTAATTTAAAAAATGAGTCTATCCAGCAATTGCATGGAGGTGGGTGGAGGTGTGTGTGAACCGACTAGGAGAACCAAATGAGAAGGAACCTAGAAACAGGCGTCTTTTAGAAATGCTAAAGTACAGGAATACTAAGGATAAGAAGTCACAAAGAAAATTAAGACTCACTGTTTAGCAGGAGGGAACTACACAATTATTTTGTCCCCAAAGGAATGCCAGTTCTTAACAAAATAAATAAAATGAAAGATCTTTTCAGGACTTTTAACCTAAAGATGAAGAATATATGGTTGGCTAATGATAGCAAACAGTTCATGCAGCGATGTCAGTAAGGAAGGACAGCAATATTGCACTAGAAGGGGAACCCTGCAGGAACAGTCCACCTTTCATTGACTCAGCGTATCCAGCCATTTCCTATATGCATTGGCAAACCTGGCCTGCTCGACATTCCGGCAGGTGGACAACACTTGATCGATGAACCTATGTTCCATTTCCAGGCCTAGGGAATCTGGAGCCGGGGTCCGCTTCAGGCGTTTTGTTTCCTGGGAATAGCCCTGCTTGCTACAGTCACTCAGTCCATCCACTTCCATTGCCTGAGCTGTGTGAGGGCCTGCTGGGATGCGGTGCAAGTCACCTGAAGTCCCCCCAGGGCTGTCTGCAGATGACAACTGGGTCACACTGAGAGGAAACCTACCATCTAAGTGATGCTGAAGGTAGAAAACATGCCGCCTGTGAAAAAGGAGGGGGAGGGAGGGAATAGAGGAAAGAAAGGTCACATCGCAAGGTCAAGCTTTTCAAGGAAAACAAAAAATAAGTTGATAACTTCAAAACATAGAGTACTCAGTTCACTGCTCCGTTTGTAACCCAGAGTTACCTGGGAGAAGGAGGAATAGTTATGATGACGTCTCCGGGTATCTGGAGAGCCTTACAAGTCCAGATTACTGGTATGTTTGTAAGAAAGGTTTTTAAATAGCACTGACTGAATGATGACCATCACCTGAAGTTATTTTCTGTAAACTATAATACAAAACCAAAATTAGGCTTTAGCCCAATCTCTGCTATAAATTAAAATACAAAACCAAAAATCAACATTGCTGATATCCAGAAGACAAGTGATTCAGAAACAAAGGGATTAAATAGCTCCTCTAGAGGCTTATTTAGTCCATGGCCTCTACCCAATACTTTCTTTAATAAGAACAATCTGCTGCAGTTGGTATTATCTAGAAACCATGTGAACTTTCCCTAAATCCATCACTACAGTCTCATTAAAAATCCACATGCATTAGGGATGTGCTGGGCTCTGGGCAAAGTATGCTGCAAGACACAGTTCCCATTCTTCCTCTAAGGAGAGCAGGTCTCCTGCCCTTAGAATCATGCCGTTGTTTGTTAAAAATGAAGATTCATATGCCTAATCTCCAAAAATATGACTCAGTTGGGTGCATATCTACTGTACAAAGTAAGGTAAACTACATTGGTCCTAGGTTAGCAACTCTTATCCCTTAACAAGATAATACTATCCATTTTCCCATCATATCCTGGAGTAGACAGGGAACATACACATATCACATGGTTGTCTTCCATCTTTTAACTATCCTGAGACTAGAAAAAGGGGGCAACTCTCAATTAACTTTAAAAATATACAACATTTAAAATTCCTATCTCCTACCTAACACAGGCAAGTCTTTTGTCTACAAACAGAATCCTACGACCTGAGGTAGAACCTACATTTATAAAGATGAAGATGCCTCCAACTAGGAGATGACCCAAAATAAACCAGAGGTTCCCATACCTGGACTTCATTCCAACATGAAGTCACTTTACTGTCAAATGTGCTCAGAACTCAAGTTATAAAGTTGCTAACCTCTCTCAGAACTTCCTAAAATCCTGTTACACTCCTGAAGTACACTTTACTTTACAAAAACAGAAAAAGTGTCAAAGAGATTATACTTAAAATGGTCTGAAGAACGATGAAGTTTAACTATTCTCAGGGACTAATGAATGGTCTGGCTGTGCATCCGATTTACCTATTAGGATTTTCTGTTTTTTTCAGAAAACGGATAGCAGTGCTCCATCCCAGGTATACTAAATATCCGCATCTCTAAGGAAGGAGTCCAGACACTTTTGTTTTTAGTTTGGGAGTAACATATTATCTATAGTACAGTCAAGGTTGAATACCACCATCCTAAGCTGTAGGCAAACATCTACTTGAGGAAGCTCTCATTGATGACGATCATGAGGAGGAGGAGAGGTTACACAAACTCCTCCGAATCACTCAGGGAAAGCTCCATAAGCAGATCACCATACTCACCCAATCAGGCAGGAGCAGGATGGAAGAGCTCTGCAGCTCTCACAGGGACACACACAGTTTCACGCAGGAAATGAATTTCCCTCCTCTTACCTGTGACACCAAAGGGTCTCATGTCCTGGGTAGGAATCAATAAGATCAGTGGTGAATTCAATTTCTTCTTTTAGAAGGTGGGGAATATTTATCCTTGGTTCCTCTGTTGAAGCTGCTGCTTCTTCGTCTTTTGGAAGCAGCAGAGCTGGCTCACTTCTCAAAGGGTTTTGCTCCAACGCAGAACTGTCTTTCACAGTTTGACTAATCAAAGACTTTAACAAAAACTGGCGGTAGTGAAATCCACTGTGGTCTGAAACGTGCATGGATGCCCAGTGTTTAGTAGAAGATAGTTCATCAAGAAGAATCTTGTAAGAAGAAAAAAAAGAGGTGAGACAAAAACTGCCAAAGGTTTTTCTTTCTCCATTAATGCCTTGGATTTCTCTCAATGCCATCTCTACCAATATTTTGTATAGTGTCTGAAACAGTGCTGTTCCCCATTCCCTTATAAAATAATTGAAGACATATATATATGATATTGAAGGGAAAATATAAATTCAGAGGTTACTTTGATGTAAACTTTCTTTGATATTTAATGAACATCTACACTATCTAACTTATATTATAATAGGCTCAACGTAATCATTTGTTCTTCACTGTAAGTGCCATGAGGGCAAAGACCACGTCTGTTTTGTTCATTACTTAATTCTAAAGGCTTAGTACAAAAACATGACACAAGAATAACAGGAATTTTCAGGAGCTCATGATTTTTACTTACTATTTATCTCAACTCATTTAACATCAGTGATAGTTCTTTTTAAGGTAGATGAGTCAAAATTCAGTAGTGAATTGTTTAAATCTTTTTTGTATTATCAATTCTGCACACTAAACAATTTCAAATAGAATGATAAACAGAAAAGCAGCATCTATGAAAAATTAAATTATTTGGCAGTGTGTTGGACAGGTAGCAAATGCAAATGGGTGCTGACAGTGAAAGGTACATTGAGGGTCTACCTTGTGCCATCAGAGGATTTTCAGATCAGCAGTGAACAGTACAGACAACACACTGTCAGAGGGCTTCTTCACCTGGTCTTTAGGGGTCCCGGGGATGCCTTCTCCTGTACCAGGATCCCTCTCCCTTTCTCAGTCCCTTTTCTTCCCCAGAAAAAACCTTTCCCTCTTCTAACCTCCATACTTCTTGTGTGTGCCATCCTATATATTACAGAATTTTCTACGCATCTTTTTCATCCCCATCAAACTCTACAAGTTAAGAAATTTATTTGTCCCTCTATCCACTGGCATCAGAGTGGAAATGTAAGCATTTTATGACTGACTGAGTGACTGAACAATTTAATGAAGTGACCAGTACAGAGGGATAAGGTTACCCCCCACTAGGATGGTCAAGTTACATCTCCTTTAAATCCTAAAGAGTTAATTCATAGCCACATAAATTTATTCTAGATGTTACCTCTGGTAAGTCATGAAGAAATGAAAAACAGAACTGTTTATTTTATTTAAAAGGTGAGCAAAATAGCACCAGATAAACGTTGGAAAAACAAAACAAAAACTAATCTTAAGGTTATTACATTTTTGAAGAATTAAGCTGCAGGACATGTAGGCTATAATACGACAGAGTTTAAATGCCAAACTGTTTCCACGGTGGGTAACACCATTTCACATTCCTACCAGCAAAGTGTAAGGGTTTCAATTTCACCACATCTTCTCCAACACTTGCCATTGTCTGTCTTTTAAATTTTACCCATCCTAGTTAGTGTGAAATGGTATCACACTGTGGTTTTGATTTGTATTTCCTTAATGGCTAATGATGTTAAACATCTTTTCATGTCTTTATTGGACACCTGTATATCGTTTTTGAAGAAATGATCCTATGTGCTTTCTCAGGTAACATACCATATCAACTTTTAATTGGCTAGGAGTAATAATCTCTGGTCAACCCTGAGTCTTTCCTCTCATCCTACCCTCAAAAATGAGACTATTTAAAAATTTACTTAACTATATGTTCACTTAAACACACAAAAATCATAGGGAACTTGAAACAGAAAATTAAAACCTCTTGTAATTCCACTTTATAGCACTGATAAACATTCTTTATTCTCTAACCATTTTTTTGAACAGAAAACTAGGAAATGCTTATTACAGAAAACATAAGAAAATATATCCATAATAGCACTGTGTGTGTATATAAATATCTGTTGAACACTTACAATATGCCAATCACTGTTCTAAACACTTTAAAATCACATTCAAGGCTAATAATATATTAAGAAATTATATTAAGCCCATTTCATATTTATTTTATGTCCTTAAACGATAATGAACATTTTTCTTTAATCTTCCAAAATACAATTTTTATTAGCAACAGAATATTCTAGTATGTGATAAAACTGTAATATAACTAAAGCCTCATTATTGGCGGGTTAGACTGTTTCTAGGTTTTCACAATTATAAACAGTATTTTCATACATTAAACTTCCGTATTTAATATAACCAGTGTTAGTTGAGTGCATAGTACAAGCACTTGTGATAGTCACTTTATGTAGATTCTCCCATTTAATACACATCACTCAAATGTGGTAGGAATTATCATTATTCCCCGATGAGGAAACTGAAGGTTAAAGAAGCTAAGAAACCTCCAGAAAGCCACACAGCAAGTTGGTGGCTGAGTCAGGATTCAAATGAAGTCTGTATGACCACCAAGTGGAACCTTTAATTGCTGCACCATACCGCATCTCCCATTATTTCTTTAGGATGAATTTCTAGAAGCATAACTGCTGATTAGAGATAACACTTTTTTTTTTTTTGGTAAAGTCTGGTAAATGCTGCCATGCTCACCTTCAGTAAGATTATAGCAATTTCTTCAATGCTTGTTTTCATAACCTCATCAATACTAAGATACAACACTTTAAAAAATCACTCTCAATTTTCTAAGTAAAAAAAAAAAAAAGTACCAGCTCATTTCATATGTATTTTTAAGCTGCTCTAGGCTACTGGTACTTTTGTGATTGCTTTCTCTAACAAAGCATAACAGGACATGATCTCCTAGCTGTGCTCAAGGGCTTACAAGAGCAGAAAGGGGATTTTGCAAATTTAGCACTCTACACCGACAGTGAGTGACATTACAGTAGCAGTGATGACAGGAAAAGCACAGCCTCTCCAAGGGCAGGGCAGGCTGACAACATGGGAGCCTAGGATTGGGAGTCTAGAAGTGGATTCAGGCAGCTGAGTCAACACACCACTAATGAGTTCCCATCTTCAACATAAGGAGGTCTCAAGTAACCAAAAATTTCACTTTGGCGCCATGTTCCTGATTCTGTGGGAATGCCACCGTAAAAGGTTCATATAAAGGCAGGAAAGCTTCCACACCTCAGCTCACCTGGACTTGGCCTTCTTCTTTTTTAACTCTCCTCAACCCCCACACACTACCAAGCTGTGGAGCTAAGAGGACCAGCTCTAAGCACTCAACAGCTTCCCAACCCACCAGATAACCTGGAATCATTCTTCCAGACTCCCAACAGTGTAGCATTCCTCCCCGTGACAGCTGCTTCCAGTGAGCCCACCTGGAGGAGTAATTTCTGTGCTCCCACTATACCTTGAGCTTCCTCTGGTTCCTGCAAATGTAACACTGCTTTGTAACTACTGGGATCTGCTTCCTCAACTAGGTTTTCAATTTGTTGAGGCCAGCAAGTTCTTTGTCTTTATGCCACACTCACCGTGTACAGGACAGTGTCTGAGAATGACAGGTTTCATGAACAAATTGCAGTGAGTTGACCTAGCAAACTGTTAGCTGGTTTCACCTAAACTTTCTATCTATGGGGAACACAGAAAGGAGCTAAAATTTAGTGAGCTTTTACTATTAGGTGCCCAGTACTTTACACACTTTAACTTAAGTACTTCTCATAATAATCCTGAGGCAGAAAGTAGAGCCCCCATTTCATAGGGAAAACATTAGGCCTTACTTTCCACATATAGCTAATAAGGCCCGTATCTGAAGCCAGGTCAATGTAATTCTGTCTTAGCTCTTTCCACTCTATCAGGCGTCCTTCCCTCCTGAAACATAAAGGCACATAAACTGGAGGGGAAGGGCTACTCCTCTAGAATTGTTGGCTTAAAATCTCCCAGAAGTAAAAACTCTCCTATTTCTCATGGAGGAATCGCTATCTAGGAAACAGAGAGAGGAGAGGGAACCCACAAAAGAAGATGTGTAAAGAAGGGAGTGGTGAGCAAAAATCAGAGAATAGTTTCTCCATTAATCTGACAGCATCTCCATTCTTCAAATTGTCTCAAGCTTTTAGAAAAGTACCCTCGATGCTGATGGTACCAATATCATAAAAAGGGAAGAAGAAAATAGAAAAGCTATAGTATCTAAGGAGCACAAGGCCCAACCAGGATACCTGGTTCTCATTCTGATGTACAGTAAGTAATGGCAACTGTGGCTAAGTCTAAATCATAACAATTCTCTGGTAACTGAAAGGATTAGGCTGTGACAGTTTCCAACCTGGCTCTGCATCCAACCTCCTGAGCTTATGAAAAATACTGATCTCTAAATCCTGCTCTCATTTCAATTTAGTAGGCCTGGGGTGGGACTTGGGAATCCTCAGGATTTTTATAGACTCAGCCAAGTTGGGGAACACCTGAGTGTAATCTTGTTGCCTCCCTAAGAGAGACTGTGAAAAGGCAGCCAGCTGATTCAGTAAGTCACATAAGAAAGACTACCAAGAAAGAACAATTTCAATTCTGCAATGCTTCATAATCCATTCCTGGTTCAGGGCAAAATGAGTTATTCTCAGTCTTCCTTACTGCTTAAACCTGCCTTTGTTCTACCAATGCACTAGCCTTCAGAGAGCCAAAATATGCGGGTGGGGAACACAAAGTTTTTTCTTAATTGCTAGGGATTCCCTGGAGGTTATCAGCTGTAGTGGTCCTCTCTAGGCTGCTGCGCTGCTATTAGTTCCTCTACTTTCCTCCTTTAAAGCTCCTCTGAGGAGGAACTACTACCAGAAGATTGAAAGGGCAGGCATGGAGTGTGCCAGGGAGATGGACTAGCAGCCCTACCTTGACATCTAGCCTGGCCAGGTGCTGTAAAACCCAGATGCGATGGGACCAGGCATTATAGTTGCTTGGGTATCTCCCTGCCGCTTCACCACAGACTTCCATCTCTTCTCGTATTAGTCGCTGTGTCCTTTCTGTAGGAACTGTTCCCAAGTTTCCTTTGCTCACAAAGGAAGGCAAGGAGGTTTCCTGAATTAGCTGTTGTAGCACCCATCGTCTGTTAAGATAGCATGTGGGAAAGAGAATGTGGAAAGAACATAAACCAGAGAGAAAAACAATCAGTTTTCTTCTTAATTTAATTTCCATCCACAGATAATGCGAAATAATACCTGTTTATAAGCTCAATGTTGTTTTTTGGTGGGGGGGTTGTTCTTGTTTTTAAAGGCATACTTAACTACAGCAGCATGGAAGGAGGGGGAGAGGAAAGACAAAGAGGAAAGAAAAATCTTTCTAAAATGTTAAAATTTGTCAGAAACAGAATGCCATCAGTTCCAAAATGACAACAAACTCCACTGTAAAGGCAACTGGTGTGTGTGTGTGTAGGTGTGTGTGGGTGTGTGGGTGGGTGTGTATTGGTAGTGGTGGTTGGTGAGACAGAGGATGTAATTAATGGCTGGTAAATGCTAGAAGAGGAATCATGGTTCATGTCTTTAAACATATGAATGCCTCACCCTATGTGTATTTGTTTGCAAACAAGAAGCTGCATTATAACAGCTTTCATGAAGCAAAATTTCCATAATATAATATAGAATCTGGAAGGGAACAAATACAATGTAATTAGTGAGACCATCAAAGTTTTTAAATGTCTTTATCCATAGATTTCCCCTTGTCTATTTAAGATTTTCATTAGCATACATTTAAATGAAATTCAATAAAGTATCTCTAACCACTAAAAGTCTTTAGTTTTAACAAATATTTTCTCATAAGAAAGCATTCTTTCAGACTAAAACTTTCCAACATAAAAGAAATTGAACTCATTTTGTCACTTTCAAATAATAGAAGTTTTTCTACTTAACAACAAAAGCTTGCTTTATAAAATATTAGACAAGCCAACAGACTGATAGATGCATATTTAATAATTCCCTTCCCCTGCCACCACTGTTCCAGACCTCTACACAATCATATGCATCTCTGAAGTCCGCTTTCACAATTTCCACTAAGAAAGAAAAAATAACTGATTAGATGGTTTGAGGTAGCTGATTTGCAATGCTAGCCAAAGGCAAGACTTTAAGATCCTAAAAATGCTCAAGATTTAAGCAAAGTTGTAAATGGCTTAATAAACTGAGGACAGACTTTTTCAAAGAATTTCCCCACTGACCCCAACCAGCAAGCTCCCATCTGTCATTTCAGTCATTGCAGTGGTTACGGAGTTCAAGATGCTTCCAGACAGCAAGGATTTTGAGAAGAGTTCTTATGTGCACTTTGGCTATCTGCCTCAGGCCTTTAACCTAAAAATATTCTTTGCATTTATGGTCTTAGCAACTTTAGGTTGCCCATACACCATTCATTTCAGTAGCACTTAGTTTCCTTATTTAGTTATTTTTAATAACAACCATCACCACCACCACTTTTACCAAGAATACAAGTGAATTAATTATAAAACCCAAGTTGCTCATTATATTTGAATATCTAAATGCAATTTCCATGACTCTGTCAGAATGTTAATAATAATGGCTGAAATTTATTGAGTATTTAATATTGCCAGGCACTGTGGTAGTGTTTACATGCATTATCTCATATAAACTCAGCTATTAACTCTGAGATAGGTGTAATTATCATTCTCATTTTACAAATGAGAAAACTGAGGCTTGCAGAGGTTAAATAACTTCTGAAGGCCACATAGGCAGCAAGTGATGGCATTAAGAGTTAAACGTAGCTTGACTTTAAAATTCATCCTCTGAACCAATATGTGGCCTGGTTTCACATTCTGTTTTTCTCTAGCCATTCTGAATCCTAAATTAACCATACCTGTGAATCCATGTTTCTGGACTCTTTGGAAACTTAGTTAAGGCCAGTTTTCCCAGATGTAAATCCTTAATTGGATTTAAAGTGCCGGAGAGGATCAGCTCTTTTCTGTAAAATAAAAAGAACCATTACTTTATCTTTCTAGCCAAACGTATTGCATGGGTATTAAAACAACCTCATTGAGAAGTGAATTTCCCAGAATTAAAAAAAAGAAAGCAAAACTCATAAATGTTACACACACTAATCAAGAATGTATTCTCATAATCTTAAAATAACAAATAAAAGCTTTATATCAATGGTGAACCTTTAGTTACCACTTGGAAGAGGGCAAAGGGGTTTTCAAAATCCTACAAGGCCTAACATCAGTATCTGTAGGGCAGCTCCAAAAGGAGGCAAGAACTGCTCTAGCTTCCTAAGTAGGACTTGATATGGCCTAGTTCATTACCAAAAAAATACACACACAGCAAACACAGCATGATTGACATGTAAGGAAAAAAATAATTCAATCACTACTCTAACAAAATTACTATTTTTAGTTTTGAACTTTCCCTTCTACCTTTCCTCATATGCATCTACCTTTTAACATATAATTTTACATTCTGCTCTTATATCTACCTCTTTTATTTATTTAATCCTCACCCGAGGATATGTTTTTGTTGATTTTAGAGAAAGAGAAAGGGGAGAGAGAGAGAAACATCAATATGAGAAACATCCAATGGTTGCCTCCAACACGTACCCCAACTGGGGACTGAACCTGCAACCTTTTCGGTGTACGGGACAACGCTCCGACCAACTGAGCCACCAGCCAGGGCACTATATGAACATATTAAGTGGTCAAATAGTTTTCATTCAGTAGCTATGCCATTAATTAATGATTCTTCCCTATGTTTAGACATTCAGGTTGCTTCCAAGTATTTGCTAATCCAAAATAATCCTGAACAAAGAGCTTTATGCTTATGACTTCTTTACTTTGTACTATCACTAAGGATAAGTTTCCAGGTGAAATGCCGGCATGGCTCTAAATACACTAGACAACTTTTGAAATATAAACAGAAGTAAGAGCTATGTGAAATTTTTGTTGTTTTAATAGTGTTCCAAGCTTTAATGCAGTATAATGAATGTCATGCAAAAGCATTCCACCCACTTCTCAGGTAAATACAATTTGGGTTTAGATAATTTCTCGCATAATTTTTTGGTAATAAGTTCTGATGTTAATTTTCAATGTATTATTATTTTATAATGAAATTAGGTCATTTGCTAATATTTATTAATCTTGAAATGCCCTTCCTGTGGTAGGGTAATTATTCATTTATTTTAGGAAAGTTTAATCCCAACAAAACCAGAGCCCAGCTTGTATACCTCACCTACTTAGTTGGATTTAGTTCCTAAATACAATACATCTTCTTTCCAACAGCAACGTACTCTTTCTACATTTTTATTTGATGAAAAAAATAACTTCCTTTTTAATGAAAATACTAAATGAATGATAATAAATGTTTGCATTTTACATTATTTTTAGGTCAGTAATTTCACTCTCTAAAATAATTTGAAGGGATACCAAGAAGGTTTATGGCTGCTTTATAGACGACTTTATTGACTATTTCTCTTTCAATGTACAGGAAACCTGTGTCATTAAAAGAATATTTAATGTAACAGCCAATTAATTACTTTTGCAGTCCTAGATCCTTTTTCTTCTGAAATGTAATGTTTTGTTCATACAATAAGTCAGGATACCTATAGTATAAAAGGAGGCAAAATATTGCTCTATGTAATTTTAAGTACTTTGAAGAGCAATATTTCTTAAACTAGGGCCTGAATCACTGGAGCTTGTTATCAGCTATTCTTGTTGCTCAAAGACATTCTGCTTACTCTAAGTTCATAGACTATTGGAAAAATAGGACACTATTACAAAGTCAACCTCTTTCATCAAGTAATTCACCGATTTTCAAAGCAAATTCAAAGGAAAAAAAGGAAGAAAAAGTAGCATCTGTCACTTTTTTCTATAACCAGCTGGATTTTTAAACTACATGCATCACTCACTCTAACCTCAGGAGATTGGCTCAAGAACTTTTTCTTGCCCATATTTTTTCCTAAGACTACAACACCTATAAATTGAACTACCAACGTGTTACACCTTTTAGCAGTTTACAAAATGCAGTCAAAAACATCCAATGCTTCCCAGAGTTACTGCAGAAGGAATACACAAACATAAAATGTTGAGTCTTTGATTTGCAAAAGGCCTCAAAGGGCAAGATCAGTTTACTCCCAAAGCTAGTTGTTTCTCCTCACCATGTATTCATGATTCTATGTCTTCACATGTCAATGTTATTAATACAAATTAAAATATACTAGAACACATATACACGTTTTGAAAAAAATCAAGATTTCCTTTCTACTCATCTAGCAAAAAACTTTCCCAATAATCTTACTAGAATAAGTTCAAGTTTAACTGCTATTAACATCATTGAAATTAGATTTATAGAACAATTTCCCTTTATAAGACCAAACCACATAAGGTATTATTATCATTATTATTATTAATGATAATAATGAGTCAGTTTCAAAAGAATCATAAAAATAATCACTCTAATTCAAATCTTTTATTCAGATATGGAAACTAAACCTCTTGAGAAGTTAATGGTTTTGCCCAAAGTCATCTAGTGCTAGTTAACTGATGAAAACAGGACTAAGATCCATGTATCTTTAAACTAGGTTCTTTTTCTTTCACTGAACTGTCCTTTAGAATACACAATGAATTGTGTGTGTGTATACATTATGCTAGAAAGAATATTTCTGTTTGTTTAAGGATTTTCAATTCCTCTCTAATGAGGAGGAATATGAGAACATGAATAAAAATGGTACTCCCACTTCTCCATTACTCTCATTTCTTTTTCACTGCATTTAATTATTTTTAGTGCCCTGACTGCAAACTGAGTATTTTGTGCCAGGCACTAGAGTGTTAGATGCTGGGGAGGAAAAAAAGACAAGATGTGGTCCCTACCATTATGAAAGCTCTCAGTTAAGTTTATAGTACCTTCCTAAAAGTCTCCTGTGCTGATTCATCCTCATCTTGTAAACTCTAGAACAACGCTGTCCAATAAAAATATGTGAGTCACAAACGTGAGCTATAGATATAATTTAAAATTTTCTAACAGCTACATTAAAAACAAGCATAAAGTAATATATTTTATTTAACTCAATACATCCAAAATATAATTTCAACATGTAATCAATTTAAAAATTAATAATATGATATTATATTTTTGGGGGTACTAAGTCTTCAGAATCTGCTGTACTTTACACTTACAGCACATCTCCACTGAGAACTTGTCACATTTCAAGGGCTCAATAGCCACATGTGGCTAGTGGCTGCCATACTGCACTTGGAACTCTAGTAAACTGTAGTGTTGCAGTGCTCAGTCTTTGGACTGATTCTCTTCTCTATATCCACTTCTTTGGGTATCTCAAACAATCTCACGGCTTTAAATACCACCTATATTCTAGGGATTCCCAAATTTACATCTGGCCTAGAACTCTCACCTGAACATCAGATTCATATGTAACTAACCAGACACCCAAACCTAAGGTCCCAAAATGAACCCCTGACTTCCAACCAGCACCCCCACCTAAATCTGCTCCTCTCCTAGTGTTCTCCTTTCAGGAAATGGCAACACCATCCTTTCAGATGCTCAGGCCAAAAACCAGAGTCAAGCATCACCCTCTTGGTTCTCTCACATTCAATTCATCATGTGTCTTTAAAACTAGATTATTAAATACAGTGAAAGCTTATACAGTTTATAAAATTCAGTGAGAATCTTACGACTTCTCAACACTTTTACCGCCAAGCTCTTCAAGTCACCAGCATCTCTCACCTAAATTACTGCATCCACTTCCTAAGTAAGATATTGTCCCTCTTCAGCTTGAAAACCTTCAATGAATTTGTCTCATTCCAGAGTAGAAGTCAAAGTTCCTACAGCAGCTTATGAAAATCTACAAAACTCTGAAATCTGGCCCATTATTTTCTGGCCTCAATTCTTATTAATCTCTCCCTCATTTATGATACTCCACCTCCACTGGCCTCCTGCTGTCCTAGGACACCCAGAGACACTTTAGGCATGACTGGAGACTTTTTCACTTGCTATTCTGTCCACCTGGAATGCTCCTATCCCAGAATCCACAGAGATTGATCCCTGATTTCATGCCAGTCTTTGCTCAAATGTCCCTATTTAACACTGCAATGCCACCTTCTCTATACTTTCTGGCCTCCCCTATCTTCTTTTCCCAGCTTCTTCCTACAGGATTTGCCAACATGTGGTCTACTACGTAGTTTATTTGTGAGCGCCCTTATTGCTTTTCTTCCTCTACAGGAATAAAAATTCCACAGGGACAGGGCTTTTTGTTCGTCTCATTCTTGGCTGTATCCCCAGTGCCTAGATCCTAGCACACAGTAATTAATAATATTTGACAAATGAAAAAACACTGTCAAGAATTGTGTAGATTAAATAAAATAAAGTATAAAGTTGTAGTATAGACCTTCGAATATAGCAGCCACTCATAAATATTAGTCTATTCCCTACCACTGAGGTGCTTCCCATAAAAGAAAATACAAAATACAAAAGTCAGTACATATTAAAAAATACTAACTCAGAAAATTAAATAAAGTAGTATTTAAGTCACCTTTAAAGATAAAGAATTATAATCATGGCTTTTTTCTATAGGAAAATTAAAATATATTTACAATGTTCAATGATTACAATGTTCAATGAGACTTCACTTTTATTTATCTATAATTTGTGTCCTGCTTTTCTCTAAGAGAATTTGTGTTAGTCTAAGGAAACACCAGTTTTTAGAAACCAGACATAGTGTTTAACTGAAAAAACGTCAATGAAAGAAATGAATCTGGTCTGAATTTTAATAGTTCTATAAAGTATTTTGTGTTTAAAGGTACAATGATCAGAATTAAAGACATCAATAAAATCTGATCTCTTTTCAAAACACTGAGTGCCAGAGTCTGCAAGTGATTTGCCCACAGAGGTCACAATGTTAGTGACTAAGCTGAGATTACAAGTTTGTGGCCTTGAATGCTCACCCTACACACTGTAGTGCTTCTCAAACATACTAACCAGGGCCTTACTAGCCAACCATGCTGACTGTCCCTATCCCTCTTAAAAGGAAAATAAAAGCATGTATCAAACAGTATACTATAATTCAGCATGGCAATTTATATTTCAGGAAAGAAATTTACAGAGAACAGACATAAACAGGCAGAAAAGGGCAAAGTATATGCCATGGAGCTATTGTAAAGAATGAGTGGAAGAAATAGGTATAAGATGCCATGGGCATATGGTTTATAGTTCATTTTTCAAAAAGCTAACAATTCATGGGGCTTGCTATGTCTTCATAAATTTGGGCAATTTCATTATAACATTGATGAGAATGACGTACCTCACGTTCCATGCAGTGGTAAAGTCTGGGTTTAGAAGCAGCAGGGTGCGTGTGACATCTATCAATTCTAAAATAAAGAGAAGTCATATTAAAAACAAATAGTGCTACCCTTTCAAGCTTGGCTTCTCTTTAAGATCTTTATCTTATATAATATACAGCTCACATTATACTAACACATATATCTCATGTCAGAGTAACTTTAACGACAGACAGACCTTGTTCTAAGCTGTCAGGGATAAAGAGATTATACTCAAGATTTTCTACTTATGATAAGTGTAACTCTTAAAAGTGGACACTGAAATAACTTTATAGTACAATATGCCTACAAAGAATAATCAAATCAACCTCTTCGTTCTTTTAGTAGTTTTCTGCACTAATTAAATATTTACTAAGGAAAAGAAACACCATTTCTATACCACTATTCATTTAATTCCACAAATATTTCAAGGATTGCAAATTTTCAAATTTATAATGCAACTTATTTTACACAATTCATTTCCATTGCCCTGTGAAGATTACTCTTCCTTACACACATTTTTACATAGCTATAGCAAGGATAAATATACAGTTTGTTACACATTTTTCATTCAACACTATTACATATGTATTCTCCTGTATTACTACAGTACTCATTTTACCAGCTGCAAAACAATCCCACAGTCAATATGCTATCATTTACCTTATTCTTCAAAGGTGTTTCCTGTTTTTACTGTTACAGAAAATATTGCTAAAAATACTTTAAATCACACTTTTTGTCTGCTTATTTTCTGTGGACGTACATCTAAGAGTAGAACTGCTATGTCAAACAATATAAATATCAGTAAGGCTCCAACTAAACATTTCCAAATGTCCTCTAAGTGCACTGTACCTATTTATATAACATGACTGTAATTACATCCCTATAATGCTGACCTATATAATTATATTTAAAAAATGAATATGGCAAATAAAACATTATGCTTTGATTATGTTTTAATTTACAATCACTGATATAAACTTTTTTTCATATTGTTTACTATTTCCTATTTTCACCTTATGAACAGCCTATTCACCTTCACTAGGTTCTCATCTATCATGGTCTTGACATAATTCCTATATATTCAAATAAGATCCATAAGCCTACACTTAATAGAACAAAATCAGTAATAGTTAGACACATATTTTGTTCATTTTACTAAAACTGAAAAGAGAATTTTAGGGTTAAGATGATCAAGCTAGGGCACAGTACTAAATTAATGAAATGTATACAAAGCTCAAATGCTAAGTAAGAAAATTAATAAAATTATTATAATTATTTAGCATGAGTGTATACCAGCCATAAGTACTTTACATTACTTCATTGACTTCTCACAATCATGGTCCAAGATATTCATGTTTCACTTTATAGGTAGGAGAAGTAACATTTAGAGAGTTTAAGCAACTTGCCTATAGTCACGCAATTAATGTGTGGCACGGTCAGCATCTGACTGCTTGTAATAACTCAATTATACTGCAATTGAAATGTCTGCCTATAATAAATGACCAGGACATTCTCAGTGTTTAAGTAAAAGAAACTTTTTAAAATCTAAACACAAACACACATAAATGCACCCTACAGTCATTTTAAAATATTCTAGCAAAAAACAATCATTCCATTCTCAACCACCTTAATAAAAGAGATTAACATTTATTGTGAGCCTATGATTTCATTACTAATGAGTACAACATTTGATACAGGAGTAACAAAAGTAGGATGGGAACACATTTATTTTCTACCCATTTATCTTCATTACAAGCATTACATGTATAAACACAATATATTTATAAAGAATAACTTAACCTCTTCCTTCTTTTACTTTTAGTTTTTGACACTAATTTAATATTTACCAGGGAAAATAAATACAAATTTCTACACCATTATTCACTTAATTCCACAAATATTCTAAGTATTGACTACGCACAAAGATTAAACTAGGTCCTGAGAGAATGGATATAATGATAAAAGACCTGGTCTTGCCCTCCAGACAATTACCCTTTAGCTGCAGAGAAATGTAAACAATTATTTAAGGCAAAATGAAATAACTGTGAAGTAGAAATATATGCTACATTTTGGAGTTAACAAAGCAGCTGCAATTAATTCTTACTGGAGTACCCAGGGAAAGCTACAAATGAGTAAGGCAGTAAATGCCATTGCAGACCATGGAAAAAAGTCTGAGCAAAGTTTGTAAGGAGCCGTGGAACTTCACACACAGTGTTCTCTCAAGATTATGGGTACCCGAGCACAACTAGCGCACAGGGTACTGGAGGAATGCACCAGGAAACTAGAGCCTGGCCCCAGTGTCCTTGTCAGCCTGGCCTTCCACTACCTGCCCTCTACTGCTGCACTCCACCTGGACCAAGCCCCACCAATCCCTAAACCTAGCTGCCTCCTTTCTCTTCTCAGGTTTACCTGCTTGCTATTCTCTCTGCCAGAAATGTCCTCCTATCTCTGCAAAAAAAAAATTTTTTTTTAAATATATCTTTATTGATCTCAGAGAGGAAAGGAGAGGGAGAGAGAGAGAGATAGAAACATCAATGATGAGAGAGTCATTGATCGGCTGCCTAGCCCGCAACCCGGGCATGTGCAGCCGGGAATCGAACCCCGATCGCCTGGATCCCAGGTCGACGCTCAACTGCTGAGCCACGCCCGGCTGGGCTCTGCAAAAATATTTTTTAAAGCATGTTTCTTCCTAAAGACTCTCCTGACCTACCCAGCTGAAAGCAATCGTTCATTTTGATGTTCTGTATGTATCTTACTTTGTTACTGATCTTGATAAATATTCTCTTATGAGACTAAAGTTTTTGGAGGCAGGTCCTCTCTAATACATCTTCAAATTACTCATTCACTCAACATAGATGAGAAAAATATGGCCTCTGCCTGGGTTCAAATCCCAGTTTCTTCACTGGGATAGTAATCTCTACACAACATCTCCGGACTTCAGTGTCCTTGTCTGTGAAATGGTGATAACATCAACCTCAGTGTTGTGGGCAATGAGATTCATTCCATATCGTCACAGCTGTTTGACAGTGAGTACTCAATAAATGTTTGTTCAGCTAAATACCATTGCTCCTTATCAAAAAATGAAAATTTTCAACATTAATATATATAAAAGAAGTAACAATGAGGCAGTTGTTCCGACAGTGAAACTGTCTAAATTTCTAAACTTATAAAAGAAACAACATAACAAAAACAAAATAAAACACTTGTTAAGTAGCTATACAAAAAGGTTTGTGCATTAGGCCTCTAGTATTTCTTCTGAAGTCTATAATTTTTCAGTCCATTATATTATCCAGGTAAACTGGTATTTCGTTTCTTGGACACTTCCTTTCTGTATTTAAAAAGGAAAGTGTGTGACCAACGGTTGTTGCTATTGGTTGAACTTCTACTCTGACTCTCCTACCCCACCAGAAATGAAGACAAGCTCATCCTCTATGAGGGAGATACTTCTGTACAGCAGTGCAAGACAGAGGCCAGAAAATACCTAAGTCCCCACTTCTCGTTCTGTGGGTGCGTGCAGAGAGGAAGGCTAATCAAAGTAACCCCTCCTTCACTACAGGGTCCCCCCGAGCAGGGCAGCAGCAGCTGCTGGGCTGAGCCCAGCTCTACTACGTACTGGGAAGTTCCTGGCCATATCACTTTATCTCTCTGTGCCCAGTGTCCTCCTCCTAGGTAAAACTAGAGCGAATGCTAGTAGTACCTCACGGGGATATTAAATGATTCAGACCCATGAAGTGTTGGGATAGTACCTGACAGTAAGCACCCAGTGATGATTTGTTACAAAGCTGTATTTCCTAGCCCAGTTCCACAAACGGTACTGGGACTGGTTGCCAGCAAAGGGAGGAAAAGACTCTCCTGAGCTCTCTGAGCAGTGACTGCTGAGCAGAGGGGGTACTTCTCAACTTGTAAGAATCTCAGGTTTTAAAGCTTATCAACCATTAGTGTAACACATTCAGTCGCAGGCCCTTCTCCCTTCCTCTCTGATAATCTGCTAGCTCTTCCTGACGCAGGACTCAAGTTCAGACAGGACTTCCTTCCGGAAGCATTCCTGTCTGATCCAAGAGGTGCGGGCAAAGTGGAATATCAGAAGTGGGAAAGGGCCAATGAAGAAAAAGTTGAGTAGGTTAGAAATATTGTATATTATTTAAAGAATCATTCCTGAATTATATGTATTTTTCTGCTCTTCTTCCCCACTGGCTCTGGCTAAATGAGAGGAAGGAAGCTGGTGTTCTTTGAGAGCCTACTACATGCCAGGCACTGTGCTGGGTGCTTTACACACACCAATTCACGTGATCCTCACAACAACCCCGAGACCTATTAGTGTGAAAACAGAAAGAGGTTAAGTGACTTTAGTGTATTGATGAACTGAATCTAAATCTATTTCCTTGAAAAGCAGATGCTTTTTCATCCCAGCACACTGTCTACAATTACTCTGCTCTCTTCCAGTGAGACCTGAACCAAAGATCTAAAGATAAACATGTACCTTTAGTTGTCTGTAATTATTTCACACTCTACATTTCATCAACTATATAAGATTCTCTCCTTTGCAGTTTTACCCGAAAGATGTAAGCTACTTAAATCCTTACCATCTCTTGATAATAAACAGATCTTTCTCCAAACAAAAGAACATATACCAGCAAATAACTGTTCCTTTGTTACACACACTCCAATATATAACTAATTCATCATCTCATCACTAGGAGAAAATGAATCAGGGTATATTATATACAAGAAAGTAGCTAAATCCAGCTGTAACAAGGAGAGGACACAAGGATGCTGGAGAGAAGTCGGAGAAAAATCAATATGGTATCTTTGCTGCACTGCATTCTAGAACTAGCCCAAGGTCAGCAGTTATGTGGCAATGGTCACTAGGTTTGACAACTGTCTCTAACAGAGATGTTTTCATGCATTTAGAAATAAATCCAAAGACAACTTGAACTGGTTAATCTCTTCCTCCAAAATACATTTAGGTTACCATGAGAGGCCTGAGGTAAAGCTATGTGGTGAATACCAAAAGGTCATTTATCACAGAACAGAGTCACCAAACTGACAGCCAGACTCTTAAGCTTTTTTGATAAATGTCTGTTGAACACATAAGGTGCTAGGTAAAGAAAGGCAAGCCATCATCCCTTTTCAATCAAGCTGGGGAAAATGTTATTTAAATAATCAACTACAATAAAGTATGGTAAGTGTTACTATGCAAGCAGTCTGAATAAAGGCATCTCATAGGTGTGCAGAGAAGTAATTACTGTTTCCTGGAGCAGTCAAAGAGGCTTTATGGGTGTGTGGGTGTATTTGTGTTCGCAACCACAACAGTGACAGCACAAGACAAGAACCTGACCTCAGCAAAGGCATGGAAGTAAGGCATAGTACATACACAGCAAAGTCCGAGAATGGAAGAGTGTATGCCGCGGCTGAAATGTCTATCAAATGCCTGCAACTCAAGTGCTGAATTTGTAGAAGAAAAGGTTGGTAATGTAGGCTGGAGCAGACTGTGAAGGCCCTTGAATACACGCCAACTCTACGGGCAACGTGGGCATCATGAAGTGAGATGAGTACTGTCTGAGACAACTGGCTAGTGGCATGATGGACACGGATCACAGGAGACTGAAAACGGGGTAGACCATCTATGAGGTAATGACATTTGTCCAGACAAGAAATAAGAGTTGGAGAGCTGAAGATGACTTCTAAGGAAATAGCACGATTATGGAGCAGAGACTGTGAGAAAGAGGGAGGAGCAAAAGACGATGGTGGAATGGTCCACTTAGAGACAAAGCGTGGGACAGCTCTGCTCCGTCAGGAAGCCAATGCTGTGGACTTCTCTCTTGCTTTTTGATTTTGTCATAGATTTCTCAAAAACCAGAATTACAGTATCATTCCTTTCCCAAACCAAATATGGCTATAACCATGAGACTTTTAAAAAAGTTATCAGTCTCGAAGCTATTAAAGAGATGTTGTGATGGTTAATTTTAGTTAAACCATGGTTAAACTTGATTGGCTATGAGTACCCAAATGAAATGTTATTAAACGTTATTTCTGAATGTGTCTGTGAGGGTGTTTCCAGATGAGCTTAGCATTGGTAGACTCACTAGATCGCCCTCCCCAATTTGGGTAAGCATGACCCAATCTGCCAAGGGCCTCAAAAGGACATGAGAAGGAAGGAGGAGGAATTCACCCCATTTTTTTGTTTCCTGTCTGTCTGCTCGAGTTGGGACATCTCATCTTCACTGGCCTCTGGACTGAGATTGAAACCACTGGCTTCCTGGTTCTCAGGCCTTCAGACTCAAACTAAGTTACATCATCAGCTTTCCTGGGTCCCTACACTGCAGAAAGCAGATCATGGGACTTCTTAGCCTCCATAATCATACAAACCAATCTGTCATAATAAATCTCCTTTTATATATATATAATTTTCTGCTGGTTGTTTCTCTGGAGAACCCTGACTAACACAGAGGCTTTCCAAACATCTAAGGAATTCAGCATATTAATGAGAGCATGAATTCAGTTTGATTAAAAAGAAAAAAAAAAAATCTATCCCAAGAATAAAGGTCACCTTCAGTTACAGAATACATTCTTAGGGGATGCCTACCTAGGGTTTTGGCGTGATCAATCACACAGACACTGACGTTTCTGAAATTGTTCTGAAATTGTCAGGTTCCTTCACTTAGCTCTTACTTGTATATTTTCTACAAAAACAGTTTTAAAGGTATAGCATTTTCATGAATTAACTGTTTTTTCCAAACATTTTGACTTTTTTTCTTACCAAGATTTACCTCTGTTCTAATTGCTGTGGCTCACAAGTTTGATAGAATAAATACTCTGTTAGTTGGGATTTTCAGGGTATTTTTTTCTGTCAAGTCAGAAATTCACTTCCACATTTTTACTGATAATACGAGATAAACAACCTGAGTTGTATATACCACGACACTAAACTATGCTGTCCCCATCCACCAAAAGAGTGAAACCGAGAACTGCTTCCATGAGGATGTCAGTTAGGATAAAATCAAGCTACTCCTGTACATATGCATCAGAATTCAGAGTTTAGATGCTAGCTAACCTTGTGAGCGCATCTTTTGCCCAGGTCCTCCTGGGCCTATCGAGACTAAAACTACACGATGAGGAGATTTAGCAAAGCCAACAGTGCAGTGTCCATAAATATAAGAAACAGAGAAATGGAGAGGACTTGGAAGGCTAAAGAATGAGGGCTGGGCTAGCACACATGAATAGATAAAAAACAATGATCTGAAACAAAAATTGCCTTTGACATTTTAAAATTTACAGTTTCTTTTCTACAAGAACATTATTCTGCTCTGCCCTCCTCCCCCAAGTTAGTTAGGTATTAACTCAATTATACATTTCTGTGTGCCAGAACACACATACAGCTCTGTTTGGCAAAAAATAACTTAATGGATTCATAGGGTGTTACTTTATGCCTTAATGTAGAGTGATGGATGGAGAGGGAAAAAGAGTCTAACAATAGACAAATATCTCTACCTTTAAGTTGATGCCTAAACTTATACCTTTAAGTTGATGCTACAACAAACATAAGCTATGCCATGAACTTAGGCATAGCCTTTTAATTAGGATTATATGTATCAGAGGACTACATGAGTGAAAGACACAAAATAGAAACTATTTCACACATTAAATCTTCAAATCAGACTCCTTTTTTACTGGTCTACACAGGGAAAAGTGCTATTAATTTATTATCACAGTATGTTAAGGACAATGCTGAAAGGACTATAAGGAAATTGCTATGTCATACCTTTGGCACGCTCCACAAAGATTGTTTTCACTCACTTTTAAGCTTCTTGAGTAAAGAGAACATGTATTATTCATCTTTTTATTCCCTACAGTACTTAGAACAGCTTCTGCTATGAGTAGGCCCTTGGAAATGGCTACCAAACTGATAATTAAAATTCTCTAGGAAACAAAGTTCTTATTCCAAATTAGCCACCAGGCATACTGAACACTTTTAAAGGTACTGCTATATGTGGCAAGGGACAGGAACTTTATAAAAACAGTTGAGAGCATGGTTTTGGATGAGTACTCTCCAAAAAAGTGAGGCCCCAGGTCTTACTTTTACTAAAAGTAAACAGAATTTGTGCACATGGAGGCTTAATATCACCTATAGCAGGGAAACCAAGAAAAGAGACCAGGTAGAATGAATAGGGATGTCTGATGCAGCAAAGAGGAACAAAGAAGTGAATGCCGCGGTGGTTTTCTTTTGCTCATATCTGCACAGAAACAGGACATAGAGGGCTTGAGCTCAGCTGGGTTTCACAGCACCTTCATAAATCACTGAGCTGGTTCACAGTACGACGACCATCACCATGCCTCCGTTACCTCATCTGGACTGCTACAAAAATGAGTTCTGTTGTTTATACAGTACTAAAGGATTGGGAACCACAGAATCTGAGCTTTTAGCAACTGCAGTCCCCTTCAGTAATTTTCAAACACTTTGTTTAGTCATAGGATGTCTTCTTCAAATAAAATTTAACAAATGACCCCTATATATAAAAAAGACAAAATCAGAATTGCTCTGATTTACTGCTCAGGTTGCAGTAGGTGCCCTGGCACCCTGCTTGAGGCACCTTCCATAGAATTACTATGGATGCAAAATTTGAAAATTACTGATGAATCCAAATTCCTCACTTGACAGGTTAAGCACCCACCCAGGCAATGAATGAAAGAGCCAGAACTACAACACAGGAATGCCAAGACCTGGAGAGGGTTCTTTCTACTATATTCCATGCTGCTTCCAAAAAAGCAAAGGAGAAAGGCAGAGTTCAGACTTACCATCTTTGTTCAGCCATTGCTTTCTTGTTCTGTACAAAATGAGCTTGTTGTGGACATACGGTAAAAGGAACTTGACACACCAGCTCTCCACACCAAGTTTGTTTTCAACCAGGACTATGGGGCTCCGGTTATACCTAGCTTCAGGACATGGGATCAGGCCAATTTCATCTCTTAATATGTAAAACATAAAAAAACAATTAAAGATAAGAATACTGTACTACCTTTTCAAAATTTTTCAATCCTACAGAGTATTTTTTTAAAAATCCACAAATTTCCCTTTCTTAAAAATTATTTAGCTCACCTACTGGATTGGTAGAAAAAATTTTAAAAACATCAGTTTTTTAATACTGACAACAGTACAGGAAAATTAGTATGCTGTGCTCCCTGCTGACAGGAATAAAAACCAGTCTAATCTTTGGACAGAAATCTGAAATGTCTTTCAAAATTTTAAATACACATACTCTTTGACCTAGCACTTCCACTGCTCAGAAATTATCCTCTGCCAAATATACAAATAGGATGTTTACTGCAACACTGCCACAAAATTAGAAATAATCTAAATGTGTATCAATATAAGACTGGTAAAATATATATGGCTTATCCATGTAGTAAGAGGTATAAACAAATGAGGTAGATCTGCATATGTTGGTATGAAAAGGGTGTCAAGATCTGTGAAACAAACAAAAAAGCAAAATGATAAAAATGGTATACACCAAAAAGTCTTTTGTATAATTTTTTTAAAGATATATAGATGCATTAAAAAATTTCTTGGACGGATACCAAGAAACTTTGAGGGTGATACAGGATTTTGTTTTTGTACAGTTTAAATTTTCTAATCACTTATATGTATTAATTCTATTTTTTTTAAATGTCAAAAAATGGATTTATGCTTGCCTGCTAATAAATGTATGTGGACTGGAAACAAATTATCAATAAAAATTATCTTGTCATTGAGATTGTGGGCCATTTTTCTTCTTCTTTATAATCCTTTAAACTTTTAAAAAAATCACATTAGTAAATGTTAAAACACAAAATGCATTTCAGAATTTGATCATTTTCATCTAAGGCATCTATATTCCTCAATCCACTTCAACTCAAGCTGAAGATCTAAGTTACAGTCTGAGATTTAATAAACAATATGTAAGGTAGTTCATTTACACAGTAAATGAACCAGCAAACAATGTTTTTGCAAAGCCTGCACACACGCTTTTCAAATATAAAGAAGTTAAATTGTTGCTTACGTGAAACATTCATTCTCAAATAGTATTCCTTTCCCTTAATTAATGAATAGCTAATAAGAAACCTTTTAATAAAAGCAGCTGATATAAATAATTAATATTTTTAGGGTGTCTAAATAGATTTTTTTAAATATTTTTTAAAAACAAAATAAAGAACTGGTTTTCAGAGCTAGTGTCTGACATCTATTACGTCCCTGGGATTCTCCTGCCAAGAAGACAGTAGTTTGATAGATGCAAAGAGGAGGAAACATGTCCAATTAAAGGTTATAAAAAAAGCCCTCTTTTTTTGGTTAGGCCACCAACACAAACTGGTGGGAGGCTGTGGAACTCAAAATCCCTCATGGACACTCCAAACGGGATAGCTCAAAGGCAACCTGCTTTCTACTGATTACTTTGTTAGTGACACAGGGATATATACACACACAAGCACACGCACACTCTCTCCCTCTGTGTGCAAGTTTCTAGCCATTCTTTCAAGCTAATTTAACTCGCAGGTTAAATTTTGTCCTGAAAACTGGCTCAGTTGATTCAGAGGTGTTCGATACTATCAAACATATACCATGTCAGTACTACCTAAACATTTTATGAGTACTACTCTAACGTACTGGGTACTGTGCTAGACTCTGAAAATGCAATAATGAATAAAACAAGGTGGTCTCAGACTTCACAGAGCTGACAGTTTTGCTGCGGAGTATCTATAATAAAATGTTACCACTTTGCCATTCTAGTAATACAAGTAAAGTTTTGTAAGAAGAATGAACCAATGCTGAGAGAGCATTTGCAGTCAATGTCCAGTACATATTTCAAAATGTTTTTTGCATTTGTATTTGGTGATAGGACAACTAGCCACATCTAGATCTACACCTGACTAATACATGTTGGAATCTCTGGTATTTTCTGGTGTTCCAGTTTTACCACATAAAGTAGAACATTTAAGAAAATAAATAGAATTACAGTAAAAAACCAAAACAAAAAAACCTGAGTTCAATTATTTCAAGAAAGTTTGTTTTTAAAGGTCTAACAACCACTTACAACACTGCAAAGAACTGCAAAAGTCAACAAGATGAATGTTGGAGTAACAAGAATAAAAGAATCCTAGCTTCTGGGTATAGTCTGGTGGTGTGAGGGTTTTTTTTGGGGGGG